TGAAGCGATCGATTGTATATTCAAGTCTACAACTCTACTGCTTACTATATTTTGATTCTGCTATAACTGGTAACGTAAAATTTAGATATGACAACGCGCTTTACTCTCAATCATTATTGGTTTTACTATAGAAGGTACATGGGATCGATAAAAGCGCATGACATGGCACTGTGTGGCATTCAAATTCACGGAATTTAAGGAGCACCAGTTTGATCGATTGTCAAGGTCAGACTGAAGCCTGTGGTCATCCAAGGAGGTTTCAATAATTAGGAAAAGTTTCAAATCAACTACAAATAGTAGTGCTTTGGCGTGCCGGAAGCAATGAATAATGTCGTTAATAAATAAATTGAATAATAAGGTACCGAGGTGTGACCCGTGAGGAACAACACCAGAGATAGCTACTGATCCATTTCAGTAGTACCCCACATATACCATATCTGTTGAGCTTTTGGACTAAGAGAATATGGTTGGCCCTGCCAAACGTCTGAGAGAAGTCAGTGTGAACAGGTGTAACATTATGAAAACTACTTGATTTTCGTCAGGAGGAACATTCCCCATTGCATCACTGGTTGCCTGCACCTTAACTGGTTAAAGTAGTGCCATAACTTACTTCTCAAGGTTTTTTCTGCAGCTATCTGTGAAACGAAGACCTAGATTACTTACGTGGTTCTTTTTACCGTTTACCTTCTGTAATGTACTTTTTTGTTCAAAAATCAAGATTGATGATGTGATACAGATATCGAGGAAACCGTTCATTTCCCTAATGTGATTGCAATTCTGAGATCAAAAAAGTTATCTTTTCAGAATGACTTTCCTGTAATCATTAAAAACTTTCGTATCTATAAGTCATAGAGAAGTCGAAGAAAATGAGTTTTGAGAGATTGACTTCACTTTTTGGGATTTCTGTTCAATCATTTGAAACAATAAAAAAATACATGTGTCTTCAACTTGACCGGCGGATAAATTGACAAGACATCATATTCACGTGGAAATGATTGTACATAATTCTGTCAGTTTCTATCGTTTCGTGATTGGTAGCTGATATTTGACATAAAATATAAAGGCTAGTTCATGATGGAACGAACATCGCATAAAAAGTGCAATTTAAAATGGCGTCGTGTTTATCGTAAAAAAGTTGGAAAAATTGAACTTTTTACGATTTCCGCAAAATGTTATACGTCAACATACAATGAGGTTATATTACTATTTTATTTGACTCTCGTTTTTTAAGCCCATACATCGAAATTGAATCCGAAATGGATGAATGTGTCAGGTTGTTCAAATTATATCAACTTTACCATATATACAATTATATAAAGCTTCTTTATAGTGTGTGAAATATTTTCTAAAACAGAAGAAATTATGGAGAATATCACAATCTTGTGGCTGAAATGAGAATTAGTGATCTAGAGAAATATTTCAACTATTTCAGGCTTACTCTCTCATTATTCAATAAATTATTGAATTTGGTTGGCCCTTCATTAAAGAAAACTCATTTTGCAAAAGAACCACTCGCTTCTGCACTTAAGTTGGCAGTAACGTTAAGATAAGTGGTTTGAAGACACGCTCCTATTAAACAAAACTTGAGAAAATTGTTAGTCCTATTTTCTGAAATGATGGGGTCTGGTTTCAAAAGTTGTAATTCGTATGAGTCGTATGTCATCATTCAGGTTCATGTAATAAAATTCAAAATTCAACAATAAAATCCTTAGATATTGCCCGCTCCAACATGAACAGGGTATTTTGACAATTGAGGGAAATTTACGGAATCGCAAAAATATTATCGCATCGTTCTAATATGAACTCGCCTTAAAGAAGTTATCTAATTACTGTCATTGTAATTGCAAAACTCAAAATTCAACTTTGTGAGAATCTATGAAACTTTTTTTTTGTGTTGCTACTACAATACAAAACATAACAATGTCAACTGCCAATGCTTTGATTGTTTTTAGTTAAAATACTCATTGTAGTAGATCGTAGTATGAAAAATTTCAAGATTCCGTAAACACGGCACAACTTAAAGTTTTTTAATTAAATTAGACTTCGTTAATATATGTCAAATATCAATGTTGCCAATCATAAAAAACCTGAAACATGAAAAACATTCTCACATGATTATGGTAAATTTTTAAATTTGGCTGCGGCAACACTGAAAATCTAAACAATAACCTCTTTTTTTCTCAAAGAAACAACATAACAAAAAATTGAAAAATTTTAAATCGACTAAAAAATGAAACCAGCTTTAGTTGCCGACGAAATGTTCCCTGAAGGTGCTGGTGCGTACATGGATCTTGAAGAGGTGATTATTCAAAATTCATAAGATTGTACTTATTTTAGATGAGACTACAATATTCATGCAGTGATGAGATTGAATTCTATTGAATCATTTAGATAATTTTGATATTTGAAGAGTATTTGAGTTAGTGTGGCAACCGTTGACAGTGTGGTTGAAATGATTTGAATCCTCATTCAATTAAACTAACAAAAAAACTTCCAAAGCAGTAAACTGTTGGATGTCACTGCAATGTAGTCTGGAATGAAGGATACCAAAAATAAACTAGTATGATTTTTATTAGGTAGTGTTTTGTTGAATGAAAGTTCCCAGTAAACTTTTGATACTATCATCTTAGATTGTCGCTATTGGTTTCAATAGTATTGTTAGGGTTATCTTTTCACATCAGTGCTCCATATTTATATCTTCTATACTTGTGAAAGATTTATAATTCCCAGTAAATTACTGTACTTTCATGAGTTTATAAATGACTAACTACTACTGCCTTTCTTTCAATTTCAAGCTTGGTAATGCCCTGTATTCTCTATGTTGTTTGAACAAAATTTTCACTATTTTGTATATCTGTGATCTCAATCAGCATCCGCTAAATCTAATTAAAGTTATAGTTCTCATTTCATCGTTACTTTCTTAGCTATTGTCATCTTACTTGTCCATTTTTTCCAAGTCTACAAAAAACATTGCAGCCTCAGGCTTATTGTGTTTTCCTTCCCTCTTTCAACACTCGTTTTAATAACCTTGTTTCCTGATAATTTGTACAGGTCCTCCATTGAATGTTTGTCATATTCTTCTGGACATACCTAATTGGGGTTCTCCGCAAATTGCTTGCCTTCGATGATCCATTGCCTCACATTCACAATAACTTATTGATGCGAAGGTGAGGCGAATTTATTGTAAAGTATGTACATTACGCAAGGAGCGTATCTCACCCAATCAACATAGTTTCTGTTAAAATAAGCTGACAATTATCATTTTTGGGGTCTCTGAGGTTTTGTTATGAATGAACTATCCCCAGATCTCTCCCAATCCCACGATATTTCGGATGTTCGCCCAAGGTTCTTTGTATGAGAGCAATATCAAAATCGCATAACTTTTATAAGGTTATGGTTATTTTAAATGTTTCAATACACTGTTAATTGTAACTTTGTATATTGTAAATATTTGGGTCTTCAACAAAACACTCGCCCTTTTATTGTCGTGATTGGGGTTTATTCATAACGACCTAGGTGACCTTTAGTGGCTAATTGAAGAATTATAAGAAACAAAACCACATTATTCTACTAATGAAACAAAATATTCATTTCAAGTAAATGCATAAAAAAACAAACAACAAAAAAACTGAAAAAAGAAACATCAGTGCTTAGATTCAAAACTTAACACCAATAGCCCAACGACTCTGATTAATTTATTGGGTGTTTTGAAATTCTGAGCGAAACGTGAACCAGTTAGTCAATTTATTTGAATTACTATTCTTTGGAAAAATTGAAAGTCATTTCTACAAAATAATAACCAAGAAATAAGTGCCTTTACGAGAATAGGTATATTGATGGCATTTTTTTTAACTTAATTCAGTATCAAATATGGGTAAGCATAAAACTGAACAAAAAAGATAACCTACCTCATCTAATTTTTAGACCAGTGCTGAAGATAGAAAGTGAAAAAAAATATAGTGGAAACCTCTGAAAAAGGAAGATAATATAATAAAAATGAAAGAAAAAATAAATCACGGTTGATTTGAGGTCGGGAAGCGGAAGGGGGTGAGTTTTTAAGGATAAAAATCGGGTAATCTTGATTTCTGGCGAAACTACAAGTCCTGTGGAGAAAAGTTAAATGGCAAAGTTGTAGGTAATAAAAATATCTACAGCTTTTGTATCTTCACTTTTTTCACATAATCTTAAAATGTATGTGAAAAATTCAAATAACTAAGTTTTTGGTTTTTTATTTCTATATTTTGCAAAAAAAATCACGAAATTTGGTGAAAACTTACCTTTTTATGTACCAAACACAATGTAATTTTTTTGGATTTGAAATATTTATTTTTTCACCTTATTTTGAAAGAAAGTCCTCCTGAAAATTCCCTCATCTTTTTTTTTGTTTCAAGATGGAGTAGTAGAAAGCCAAAAACTTTCCCAAAAATTTTGATTCAATATCGAAAAAACATTCTAATTTTCAATCGAAAATTCACGTATCAAAATATCTGTTTTTTTTTTTAAGTCGGTGGGCTTTGTGTTCGTTGAAATCTCTACTTTCTGATAGTGTGAAAAAATTTACATTACTATGGTAAATGTTCTCGGGTAAAAAACGAAAAAAACTTAAATCCTTTTTTTTTTATCATTATGTTCAATTTTGAGCTGTTTATTAAAATTAACACTTTGATTACTCATATAACGTAAGATTCCATGTTACATTGATAAACAAATAAATTACAAATCCATAAAACATTAAGATTGCAAAAAAATATGTGAAAATAGTTGTACAAAATATTGAAGATAGAATTTAAAGGGAATTTCATATAAAAAATGTGACTGATACAATTTTTTTTTCAGTAAAAAAGCTGATTTATTAAATTCTTATTACATTTTTGTCATAGAAAATCTCATAAAATATAAATATACATGTAAATCGTACTATTGAATTTAGATACTTTTTACTGATCATGTTATCCATTCATTATAATATTTTTTGATACATTAGTTTTTGTCTCTTTGATTTTTTTCAATATCTTCTTTGTTCGCATCTTTTTTTTTTAATATTGGCCAAAGAAAAGCATAGTAACTTCATTATTAGAGAAAATTTGTCAAATTTGTTTTTTTTGCATTCTCTGAGAACATTTACCACAGAAAATAAAGATTTCAACGAACAAAAAGGCCACCGACTTTTTTAAAAAAGCAGATATTTTGACACGTGAATTTTCGGTTGAAAATTAGCATGCTTTTTCGATATTAAATCAAAAGAAGGTGAAAAAATAAATATTTCAATTGCAAAAAATTACAGTGTGTTTGGTACATAAAAAGATGAGTTTTCACCAAATTTCGTGATTTTTTTGTAAAAGAAAAATAAAAAACCAAAAACTTGGTTATTCGAATTTGCCCCATAAATTTTGAGGTTATGTGAAAAAAGTGTAGATACAAAAGTTGTAGATCCTTTTAATACCTACAACTTTGCTATTTAACTTTTTTCCATACGACTTGTAGTTTTGCCGGAAATCGAAATAAACGATTTTTACCCTTAAAAAGTCACCCCCTTTCACTTCCCGACCTCAAATCAACATTAATTCACTTTTCATTTTTGTTATATTAGCTTTCTTTTTCAATGAGTTTTATCCTACTATTTTTTTTGTTTCAAAAATAATCAACCTGGGTCTACTTAGCGATGAACAGAATCACTTTTATCATTTTCAATCTATAAAATAAAACAGGGGTAAATTTTATCTAGCAGATCTCTGCAATAACATTCTTCTATTTAACATAATTTGGAAGTTGATTTTCTCTAACAAACCAATATCAAATAATCAAATAGATTTCAATTTGTATTGTCTTCGGAAGAATATTTCTTGTCTTGTTTATTCATTATGTGTGTGAAAGCTATTTTCCGGGTTTGTTGGCCGTGGTCTGTAAGGTTTTATACATGCCATTTCGTCTATAACTGCGGTAGACATTATCAAAGGCGATGGGATAATGGTCCCAGTGCCCGAGTCGGAGCTAGAGTTGTTGTTTCCATTCCGAATGCGTTAACTAGCTGGTTTTATATTATTATTTCATTGCCTTTTTTCCATTGAAATTATCCCTCTGTTTTTGAATTTCTATTGCCTCTTTATATACTCTTAAATAGTAATTTTAAGTTTTATTCAATATTCAAAACAAAGAATCCAATGTAGCGCCCATAAGAAAAAATAAAGTTGATGGTGGTGGCCGGAAGACGAAACGTCGGATACCATTATACAGGCTGACTCACGGTCGAATAGTTAGACGTTTCTGGAAAACGCAAAGCATGATTTTTCTGAAAATTTCACCTCTCACATTTCCTTACCTGTTCTATCGATCTAAAATATTTTCCGCATTGCGGCGTTGCCACTTCCATCAAAAAGTCCTAGCAATTATATTTTTTTAAATGGAACACCCCGTATATTAATACATTTTTGGAATCGCTCTGGTATTTTAATACTTTTTTGTTAATAATGTCCTATACCTATCTCTATCTGTTTTCGAGATAAAAAATGAATTGTGTCAAATATGGTCCAAAACAGCCTTAATTGAAATCAAGTACATCAGTACTCTCAATTCATGAAAAGTTGATATTTTGATGATAGTTTGGACAAACTCCAAATATTCAAATAACACCAAGAAATCGACTCCATATCATACAGGGCGTGCTAAAATTACTATTATTTCCATTGTGCATAAAAGTAGTCAAAAGTTTATTTTTTCAAATGAAACCCCCTGTATATTACTCGGTAAATTGAAAGATAGTGAAAAATACTTCAAGATGATATATCATGTCCCTATACCTAAATCGTCAAGTTTTCTCAATAAAGTCGCTTCTTCTAGAAACATTTTTTTTTTTTTAGAATTTGGATTTAGGTAGCAGTGGAATTATCAAGCTTATAGCAGTTCGGTTACTTCTATAAGTAATTTACAAAGAGTTATCTTCCAAAATAAATGCAAATATCGATTATTCAAACGAAGTTCTTATGAAATTATTTATTATACACATGAACAGAGTGATCAAATCATTGTCAGAACGTGTAAAAAAATCAACCAAATGTATCCTGAATTTACACCAATGAACGAGAGGAAGTTTGTAAGGTTACAAAATAATTTCCTTAACTATGGCTCAAAGTTTCCAGGGAACAACTGTACCAAAAATCAGTCATTTCTAGGTAAAA